AGTTAATTCCAATTATTTGCCTAAAGATATTTTTTTTCATCATTAATAATTTGCTAAACAAAAAAAAAAAAAAAGGATTACTTTAGTAACACATTCAAAAATCAAAATCCAAAACAAAGGATTTACAGTAGAACATAAAAAAAATCTAGAGACTATATATTTGCACCAATTGTCCGATTTTAACGATTTTTTTTAAAATTAAATTCCTTAAACTTTTAAAAAAACATATCCACAAAAAGGTGCATACTTTTTGAGTTATTCGAAATCTAATTTTACCATCCTTCGTAACTTTTTTTCCAGCTTCTTTTTGTTAAGTATGTTATATAGATAAATTTAAAGGGAATCGAGAAGGAGACTTTAGCCAAGTTTCATTGAAATAGGTACATTCGTTTAGGCTCTACAGTCTACAGCAACGCAGCTTTTTCGGCCGACATTTTGAAAGTAAAAGGCTAGAAACTTCGATGAAGGAGAATCATCCTCGAGTGATCTCTGATTTTAAATCCAAATTTGAAAAAAATCGGTCCTGTAGTTTCGGAGAAATTGCGGACGGACAAACAATTTTTTATTCGTTTTTCGAATTCTATGTACCCTGAAACGTAAAACCCCAAATTTTGAGATGGGGTTATGTTTTTGAATTTTTTGTTCGATTACAATGGTTCATTATTGAAAACAATAAACCAAAACAGGTAAGGGTTGAGCCGCGACTGGAGAATTTTATTTACGCTGCGCTCTTAGGTCTCCAGTCGATAAAGCTCGGGCTTTTCGGGCTCAAGCCTTGTAGCCTTCTGACCGAAATCTTTTACAACACTAATATTTCCAAAATATAATGCGAATAAATAGATTTTTAAAAAGCAACAGTTAAGGCTAGAGTGGCGACTCGAACTCAAACGCCGAGCTCTAAGGACCCGTGCCTAGGCAGGGTCGAGAAAGCTCGAGCCTTTTTCGCCTCTTCATAGCCTTCTAATCGAGCTCTTTTAACATATAAGCTGATGAAACTTCTTTCATCTTAGTCTAGTAGCAATACACCAATATTTGAAGACTGGAGACCAAGATCCACAGTTTATGGCAAAAGAAACCATACCTGACAGCATGTTTTATTCATATAAAAAATATATCGTAGACTTTATTGCAAACAGTCATCGAGAGAAATCTTATAACTTTCAATCACTAAGCATTTTTATAACTTTTTGCCTTGTAAAATCATAAAATTGCGCACTTGTAACTATGAAACTTTCTTTTGTCAAAGTTTTTAGGACGCTTAAAAATAACTACAGACTTCTATGACTTTTCGATGTATAAATTACCAACTCGCCTTGCAAACTACCAAAGCTCTTCAAATCAAACGTAAACCCTTTACCTCCTTGGACAAACAGTAGAACACTTTTCGATTTTTCATTAAAAAACACAAAAAAGTTAACTAACCCACCAGCAGCACTAAAACAACTCTTCTAAGCTCATATAAATAACTACGAAGAGTTCACATGCGTCTATACCGATGGGTCGAAAAGATCAGAACATGTTGGATGTTATGTTGTTCTACCTACGGGGACCATCCGCTACTCTCTACCCTCCATTTATTCAGTCCTATCTTCCGAGCTCTTTGCCATATATTTAGCTTTAGATATAATAATCAACGAAATTAACAATGGCCACATTTTAATTATTAGTGATTCCTACTCAGACCTCAAATTAATAGAATACTTTCAACCATGTAACTTTGTCTTCCAACCATTGTCTTCCAAATTATTCAAATTACAAAAAAAAACAATAAAATTTTTGTGGGTCCCCAGTCACATAGGAATACCAGGCAATGAACTGGCTGATAGCGCCGCAAAAGAAGCATCCACCATACTTCCAGCACCAGACAATAAAATAGCGCTCTACGATTGCAATAACGCAATTTTGAACCAGTGTACAAGCAAAACGAAAAGAATGTTTCATGACATCCATGAATCCACTTCCACAGATGCAAGGAAACCGATGGGAGCAGACCATTATCACACGCCTCAGAATAGGGCACACCAGGCTCACGCATGGGCACCTACTCGACGGAAGTTCGCCACCAAGATGTCACAGCTGCGATACAGCTTTGACAATGTTTCACATCTTGGAAATTTGTCCGAGCTTAGATTCATCAAGGACCTCATATCTGCTGTTAGGATATCGACAAGCCCTACAACCTGGAAATCAGAAACACCTACTTCAATTTTTGAAAAAACACAATTACTACAGACATATTGAAACAATACCATCCTCATAAACGAACTCACAACGTAAATTAGAAATAACCTATTCAGTTGTAACAACACGTTCTTTAAACAAAAATACTAACAACATACACATCTAAAATTTTACATATATAAGACATATTGAAATGTAAATCAACAATCAAGATGGTGCCTTTAACCTATAAAGTTGCACACGGCACCTAAAATACAACCAATAAATAAATAACTATGAAATATAAGTAAAAGGGTTTGTGATATTTTACTATGTTTTTATCATTAAATAAGATCGAAATTCACAAAAAATGTTCTTAAAAGTTCAACACCATTTAAAAATTAATTAGTGTCTTAATTTGGCTTATCAAACCGACTTTTTTACTATTATATAATTGGGATGCACATATAAGAACGATCGACCTAAACAATAGAATTTATTTCAGTTAAAACTTTAATTCAAGTAGTCGCCAAAGATGTAGTACTTGTAACGAACATCCTGAAGAACAGTTGTATCTATTATAAAAAATTTTAAAAAGTTCATTAATAAACATATGGAGAAAAACAAGTAAGATTTGAGCCGCCGAGCTTTTAGGACTAGAGCCTTGGCCGAGTCGGGAAAGCTCCAGACTTTTCGGCTCAAGCCTCATAGCCTGTCGACAGAGTTCTTTTACATCGCTAACTTTAGTTACATTTAATGAAATAAATATTTCATCTATCCTAACTTGCAAAAAGAAGTAAAATTAATACTGAGCTATTTTTTTTTTTTTTATGATAATGGCTTCTAGTGTCAGTAATATTGTAACACATAATCCGGTATCCGTTAGCCGAGAATCTTCTCTTTCGTCTATAGAACATCTAAGAACCAAATATGGTCTTGTGATAGTTCTCATATTGTAATAATTCGCGAAATAGACCCATTTTTGTCAAATTATTAATATCCGTTCAAAATTTCTGAATTGCGAAAGATGGATGGCTTCATGTTATCGTTACCTACAACTTTTTTATTTAGGAAAAATCTCGGAAACACGACATTTTCAACCTGGACATCGATAAACTTTGTCAATGTGTATTGAGGTACATAAAAGACATGAACACCCACTTGCTTTACACTCAAATAGTAGGATAATTTGATCACAAAATCAAGAAGAAAGGTCACCTACAAAAATATTGGGCCGTTTTGGCGCGACAAAGCCAAACGGTCCAAACTTTTTGTAGGCCATCTTTTTTCTCCATTTTGTGATCAAATTACTTTACCATTCAAGTTGAAAGAAAATTAGAATTCATTTGATTTTAGTGCCTCATTAAATTAATTAATTTAATAAGAAAACACTCAATTTTCTGATAATTTTCGTATATAAAGAAGTTGTATATGAAAAAATCACAATATGATGAAGTTATTCACGATGTTTTAGAGGGAAGTTAATTTGATTTGATAAAAAGATGTTTGTACCGCGGGCTGTAATGATCCTCGCTCCCTCGTGTGGTTCTCTATCTGGAGGCAGAGACCACACCAGGTTCCGTACTGAGGATCATAGTGATCGAAAAAAATTAACAAAATATATCTAACAGGATTCTGAATATTTGTTCACTTTTTGCCAAAATTCAATCGGTCGTCTTGCAACTGGATGAGGGTCATAAATACTTAAATAATTAGGTCTCTATTGGTCGTTTATTAAAAAAACAATACAACAAACCTGTTAGAAAATTAAATTAGTGAATAATTTTATGAATTTTCCCTTTGTGAAATCCCAACATTATCCACTTACAATTGCTGTAACAACCTTTGACCTATCCCATGGCAGGCAATGAAAATTTCGTAATTTCATTTTAGTAAGCTTTAATATGGAAAATAACAGTTTAATAACTAATAATCCTACAATCCATGATCATTTATAGGTTAAATATTCAGATATACTTTCAAATCTATCTAGGAATATATGAATTTTCCGTTGTCAGAATGACTAACTCCAATTTCAACATTATTATTAATTTTAGCGATGTTTCTAGTGGCAAAATTTGTACCTTTATTCACAGTTAAATATTTCAACATTGCAATCACCTACTCTGGAATCAACTTACTCATTGTCTGTACAGATATAACTTTTCCAGCTAGAAATATCACTAAAATGACATTACTCAAATATGTTGAAATTATAGTTATTCATTCTGTCAACTGAAAGGCTCAGAGACTGAAGTTATATAGTTTATAAAACTAGATTGCCTACCGTCGATATATTAAATAGACTTTATGTAATTTTATTGGTCTTAATGATTTGTTAACAGTAAGCTTTAAGCTTTAGCTCCGTTTAAAATGCATTAAAAATTTGTTATAATACCCCAACTTTGCCAGACAATAATTTATATTCAAATTAGAGGGGTAAGTGAAAGTTGTTTGTCGCGCTCACAAGCTCACAAAGCTTAAGAAATATTTTAACTTTTCATATTTTTTTTCTCTGATAATCATATGAGTAAGTAAAATTAAAAATTATGTCGTTATTAGTTTATTTTTCCAACTTTCTTAATTAAAATTAATAACGGGTTTTAACCATTTAGTTAGTATTTTTGCTGTGACCGTCTCGAATCTAGTCGGGATAAATGCTTATGAATTGAGGCGTGCTCCAACAAAGGGTTTCCATCATAATATTTCTTTTACTTAAATTGCTAAAATCAATAAAATTATGTAAATACAATTACAGTGACAAGACGAACATTTGATAAATATTTTAATAGTGTTAACAATACTGGAATAAAGAAATACGACTACTTGTACACTCATGGCTATCGACTTCTCGTTCCATATTTCTTTTTCCATGCATCAGCGGACTGTTTGACATACCTTTTATTTCTTCGTAATTCATAGGCTCGGGATTCAGTGATCCTTTTGAAGTTTTCCCACTCGTTTCCTGACTTGCTAACTGTAGCTTTGGTTTCGGCTTCGTCGCAAGTCTTGTCTATCCACGACGCCCACTTCTCGGCGAGGTCGATAACATTCACTGCCCATTTAGCCCACTCCTTCATCTCCTTCGCACCTTGTACAGGCCCAAGGTTGGTAGGCCTATTACAAATGGATTCAGAAATTATGGCTACTCTTTCCAACCGCGCTGACTTTGAGACGGCACACGCTTCTCTGCCATCAATTTTTCTGACGTTGTAATAACACTCACCTTTAGGTCTTGTGATATAATACGTGACCTTAGACTCCGGTGGCTTTTTCTTTAATTCTTTCTTACCTTTTTCTAATTCATCATTGACCCAACCTGAAATTTTGCCACTAATATCTTCTATAGCTAACTCATCTTGAGAATTTACCTGATCCCCTAATTCTTGTTTTATTTGTTCCTTAACAGCATGAAATATAGATCCCTCTCGTGGTCTTGATTCTTCAAGTGACTTTTTTTCTGGAATCAAATTTTCAATAGCATCCAACGGATCATGAGTTACATCACCAGCTCCTTCTCCATGATCGTCTTCTTTCGACTTCTCTGCCTCATCTATCTCCTTACCTTCCTTACCTTCATCTACTTGTTCTTTACCTTCCTCGCCTTCAGTAGCTTTACCTTCTTCACCTTCTTTTTTCTTGACCTCCTCTTCAGCTGGTTTATCTTCCTCATCTTCCTTCTTATCTTCCTGTTTAGCTGTTTCACTTTCCTTACCTTCTTTTTTCTGATCCTCTCCTTCAGTAGTTTTACCTTCTTCATCTTCTTTCTTCTGAATCTGCTCTTCAGTTGGTTTATCTTCCTTCTCATCTTCCTGTTTAGTTGTTTCACCTTCTTTTTTCTTATCATCTACTTCAGTTGTTGTTTTATCTTCTTCAACTTCCTTCTTCCCATCTTCTTCTTTTTTCTTCTCACTCTCTTCTTCAGTTGTTTTATCTTTGTTTTTCTGATCAGTCTCTTTTTTCTTAAGGGATTCTTTTTTCTTAAGGGATTCTTTTTTCTTTTCGGTACCTTTTTTCTTATCGGATTCCTTTTTCTTAACGGAATCTTTTTTCTTTTCGGCTCCTTTTTTTCCTTTGCCTTCTTTTTTCTTCTCATCTTGTTTTTTCTTATCGCTTTCTCTTTTCTTACTGCTTTCTTTTTTCTTATCCTCTGATTCTTTCTTCTTCTTATCGGTTTCTTTTTTCTTATCGGCTTCTTTATTCTTATCAGCTTCATCTCCCTCTTTTTCTTCCTCATCATCTTCCTTATTTTTCTCGGATTTTTTATTCTTACCGGTTTCTTTTTTCTTAGCAGCTTCTTTCTTTTTATCGACTTCTTTTTTCTTATCAGCTTCATCTTTCTTTTTTTTTTCCTCATCATCTTTCTTTTTATTATCTTCTTCTTTTTTCTTTTTTTCGGCTTCCTTCTTCTTTTTATCGGCTTCTTTCTTCTTTTTATCGGCTTCTTTCTTCTTTTTATCGGATTCTTCTTTCTTTTTTTTATCCTCTTCCTCCTGTTTCTTTTTCTTATCTTCCTCTTTCTTTTTCTTGTCCTCCGCGTCCTTTTTGTTTTTCTTCGCTTTTTTTTTTTGTTTCTCGGCTTTCATACTTTCTTTTTTACTTTCATCATTTTTCTTTTGTTCTCTTTCCATATCCTTTTGAGCTTTATCGGCGTATTCTTTGCAAATTTCTTTATCAATCTTTGCCATTATATCTGCTAACCAAATAGCGACCCTGTCGGCGATATACACTTGAATTCGTTGCACTCTATTTCGCGGGTTATTCAAGCTGCAATATTCGCCGCTTATATCACACAAGTGGTTAAGTAATGTTTCAGCGATGTACCGAGTCCTTTTACTTCTCCTGGCGGACATCACTGTTGCTAAGTAATCAACAAGTTTCACACTCATCAATCTCTTGTATTCTTTCAACCAATTGTCTTTCGCTTCTAAATTTACGGCGCCACCTTTCCTTTTGGGTCCTCTTAGCTTATCTATTAACCTATCAGCATCGCTGGAAAAAACAGTTTGTTTATAAGGAAGGTTTTTAAAAAATTTTAGAGCATGTCAAATTTATTTGCAGATAATAATGTAAAAATAAGTAAATTATTGTTAGGATAATCAAAAATTTATTTTGTCTTATTTTGACCAACAGCTTCAAATCTTTCATCATTGAACCGTTCTGCGATCTATTTAATCTTTTCCTTTGGTTTCGATACAAGCGATAAATAAATATTTGAATAACTTTGCAAAAATTAAATAAGATAAAATTCGTTATATTAGTGCCAGATAAGGGAGAGATACAATAGTGTTAAAACCTATACAATGTTGAAAAAGAGTAAATACATACTTAATATAATAATATATGTTCTACATTCTAAAGAATTGCGAATTCCTAGAGAAAATGAAACAAATATAAAGGAAGGAGATAGTCCGGAGTGGCGGTCATAAAAAGGGTAAATAGTGGAAAAACTATTTTATTAAAAGAATAAAACTAATAAATAAGTTATATTTTCGTAATCCAAACTGTGCTATTACTATTATTTTAATCTTTTGAATGTAATTGTCATTGCTGTAATGGTAATCTGTACCTATTTGTGTTTGCCGTTCATTTTACTGGCTCACTTCTGAATGACTATTTCTTTGTCAGGAGTAAGCTCAGCAATGACTTATTGTAGACTTTTTAAATTTTAACATTATATTAAGGTTTGCTTGACTTATAACATAGACTTTAAATAAAAACAAAATATTGAGTATAGCCGAAGTTATGAATTCTTGAGTAATTTGTCTAGAGATCTCGGTTAATGTTGATAATAAATGTTAGCAATAAACATATCTTTATAGGTTAAAGAACATCTATATAAATGAAATAAAGTTTTCATCTGTACATTGAATAAAATCAACTCGTTTCATGATATCTTTCAGCTTTATACAAACAACAAATCTACTTTTTTAAATTTTTTTATCTGTCTGGATGTCCGCGTTGTCCAACGAAATTTTGTCTGAGGTAAGCTCGGCAATAGCTAATGGTAGTCTTTTGAAATTTTGACATTGTATTTAGGTTTGCTTGACTTAAAATATAGACTTTAAATGAAAACAAAATATTGAATAGAACCAAAGTTATGAATTCTTGAGTAATTAGTTTAGAGATCCCAGTTAGGCTGTTACTTTGATTCTAATCCTAACCTACACTAACGCGAGCCACATTTAAAAGTTGTACTACTCAAATGATGGCAAAAATTATCACAACTCAAGCGGGAAAAATCCGAAATACCAAACATCCGTAACGCGTTGTCGCATAAAACGGGTAAAACACATTCATTTTTCAACTTTGTCCGATCATCCGGTTCAAAGTGTCATTCAATTCAACTTCCCAAGCCTAACAAATGTTGTTGCATACATTTTTAGGATTAACAAAACGGATTAGCCGGAAATCAGGGCCAAAAAACTCCAAAAATTTCACCCCACCCTCCACAATATTCAGATCAAGTTCTAATTTTACACGGATGTATTTATCAATGTCCAATGTTATTTTGGTTATTTCGCCAGCGATAAACTCAGCAGAGTTTAAAGAAGTGGAGAGACTACACCTCTTTTTGATTATCTCAATCGACTCCACAATCTCCTCGCTTCATCATAAATCAAAATTAAACACTTAACAAATTTTAATGGATCGGTGGTGGTCGGTTTAGTTGTGTGGTACCTAAAGAAATAGCCGAATAACAAAAAGTTTTTGTTATGATTATTGCGAAACCTTGACCGCCATAAAAATTTTCAAAACAACATCCCTTCCCCCTCCCGACCCAATTTAATGAAATTGAATTTGGACCCTCCTCACCCCATAGTACAAAATCAGTCATAAAAAAAGATTCCCAAATTTTAACTATACACCCGAAGGGTAAACCAGCTACTATACTATGTGTTAATGTGTTATTATTTAATAAAGTCTTAATAAAATCTTCACAAACACACGCTAATCTTATTTAACCATAACCATATTTATGGGCCTAGGGGCCTAGTGATTTGTAATTCGTTTTAAACGGATTTAGTGATTTCTTAACACTTTATCAGTTGGCCACGTTTGTTATGCAACCGAGTTCGTGTAAATCAGCATTTATTTTCGCCAATTATGGATTCATCACTTAAAATCGGTGACCATGTTAAAAGGAGCCTCAAACTGGATTCTATGGAAGTATCAAATTATGATTACAGCTGAAGGCAGAGGTATGAAAAACATGCTTCTTGGTACTGATACTCAGCCAACCATCGACAATTACACAAGGTCGATGTTACAATTCCATGAAGGTACGTTAAAAAACACTACTAAAAATCTGGCTGATTGGTCATTAAGAGACCGAAAAGCTAAAGAACTTGTAGTCTGAGTAGGACTTATATTCGGTATGAAAGAGGAAACTATAATGCATATACTAACCTGTTCCTATATTTCTGATATGTGGGCAAAATTGCTTGCTGTTTATGAACAGAAGTCAGAGACCTCAATTCATTTACTTTATGACAACTTCTTTTCTACTCTTATTAATGTGTAGCAGCTCATATCTCTGTTGTAACTGATATTGCTTTCAAATTAAAATAAAACGGTAAAAATACATCTGATAAACAAATCATGACTAAAATAATAATGTCCCTACCAGACCATTTTAGTTATTTATTTTTTCTTGGGAGTCTGTTGATCCTAGTAGAGAACCTATCAATGAACTAACACCTCGTTTGATTGTTGAATAACAACGGGCCAATGTTCGTGGGACATGTCTTACATAATGATGAGAATAGTGCATTAATGACAAAATCAATCATCCAAGTCACAAATGATACAAAAATCCAGCCAGGAAATCCTCCTTTCAATGTGATTTTTATAAAAAGACTAACCATGCCACAAAAGACTGTCGTTTTAAAACGAAAGATTAAAATTGTAAAATATAACTATGTTTTATGAAAACAATTACCTTAAAAAGTATTATTTTTCGTCTAATTACAGTTATTAGGATTTCAAAAATCACTTAAAGACCATTTCATGTAGGTAGTTAGTTTCTTTCTTTCTTACGAAGTCATTATCCTAATGTATTTATAAAAAAAAAAAATAAATAAATAAAAACCTTTCGGGATGAAGGCTTCCCCAAATTAAATCCTGGATCCGTTAGTGCATGGTCATAAGAGTGTTCGCTCTGGAAAATCTAATTCTAAGCAGAGATGGGCAGATGCTACTCTGGTTTTATATAGAATAGAATAGAAAATAAACTTTATTCTAGGACGAGGTCTATTGAGAATAACAAATATGAACAAAAATAAAAACCACATCTAGTCAAAAATTACATAAATCAACATTAAAGAATATATAAAATATCTTCAGTTAAAGCATATTAAAACAAATAAAAAAATAACAGCATTTTGCAAAAAAAAAGACATTATTTAAATGAAAATAAAAACAGAAATCAGGTAAAATAAAAACAAAATGTTATAAGCATCATGGATTATTCTTAAAATTAAAACTCAAACAATTTCAACAACCATTCATCTCAGTCAAAATTTAATTCATAATATTTATTTCATTGTACTATGTCATTTTGAGATGTGAGAAGGAATTGTTAGAGATGATATTTGAATGAGAACAAGGAAGAGGCATGGCGAATATCAGATGGCAAGGAATTCCAGAAGGCAGTAGATCGGGCAATAGAGTATATCTCGCCCAGATTGCAGCATTTACCGTGAAATATAACCCGGCATTTATTGCAACATATATTAAATTTGTCATCCCTGAAGATGGCACTATCGCAAATAGAGCACTGAACCATTTTCGTAATAATATTTACTCACGCTAAATCACTAGCGGATCCAGGATTTAATTTTGGGGGGGGGGGGCTTCAGCCCGAAAGATGTTTTTTTCATAAAAATAACGATAAATACTTTGGAAAAAAGAAAGAAACTAACTACCTGTATGAAATGGTGTTTAAGTGATTCCTAAAGCCCTTTTAAATATAATTACACAAACAATAATACTTTAAGAGATTCTTTTTTAATATTTTTTTCGATAAAAGATGCCTATATTTTACCATTTTGGGGAGGGCTTCAGCCCGAAAGCCCCCCCCCCCCGTAGATCCGCCCGTGCGCTAAATAACTGTTAGTCAATAGAGGCATGTTGTTGGTCCTTAATACTCAGACGCTTAGAGGGATTAACTGCCGCACTTCAATCCACAGCTACACGACATTTTTCTTCAATAAGCCGTAAAAAACAAATCTGAAGGGCATAAATAAACTTAATTAACCGTGAAAAAAATATATGAAAATTAAAAAGAAATAGCGAAGGGTACGAATGTTAGACAAAAACTGTAGGAACGTAGAGAACTGCTTGCCGTCTCAGGCCAGAATGTGAATGTGAATGCTAAAATATATACAATGAGTTAATGTGCTATTACTTAATAAAGTCTGTTTATCTTCAAAAACACACTCTTATGTTATTTAACCATAACCATATTTTAACATAAACAATTTTTATTTAAATCTTATTTTATTGAGAAATAATACATTTTTCCTCACTTGGGGCATATAGTATTAGAGCTGTTTGAAACTCATTGATGCCATATTTTAAACAATTAAAGCTCGAATTAGCCAGCTGTAAATCTTAATCGTTTTATTCTAACCTGTCCTCCATCTCTGTTCATGACAATTCTCTGTGGAATATCACTAAAAAAAAAAATTCTTAAATTCCATCAAATTCCCCATCACCTCCAAGTAAAAGATGGCTTCATTATTCTCCTTCTGTATAAAACCAGGCAAACCTCCTTACAGTTTGACATTCTATAGACCAATTGGCCTATACACAATTGTTTCAAAAATCTCTGAAGGGATCCATCTGAAACAAATTTACTCTTTATAGAACGCCAAAATCTTCTTTTCTATCAGTTAGGATTTCGTTTGATTCCGCAGTCCAACCATGATTCCAAGTGGTTTATTATCTATTTTCAGCACTAGAAAACAAGCAACATTGTTCGGGTGCCTTTATAGACATAGTACAAGTTTAGGACAGAGTATGGCACGCTGGGCTAATTTTGATGATTGAAATCCATCTACCCCAGTCTTTGTATCTAATCCTACGTTACTTCCTCCCTGTCCGCTTGTTTCGAGTTCACTGTTAAATAAAATTTTAATTGCTTTCCAGTGCTATTCAGCGATGTTTCTCAATGTAGCGTCTTTGATCCCACAATTTTTCAATCTCTTTACCACTTACATTCCAATACCTTTTTGGCAATATTTGCTGATGTATTTACCAATCAATTTTTTTCCGAGAAAGAGAGTAAGGGTGGAGATTTATCACATTATTTCTATCTGGGCTGCCAGGTCACGCGGGATGCTGTACACACGCATGAAGCCTCTCGGTCTTCTCGCTCCTCCATTTTGCTAGATTGTGTTCTTAAAACTCATGGGATCTCAAACGGTTGTATTCGGTTGAAAACTCGATTTCAAAAATTTTCTCTATCGCAATACCTTCCCTTGCTATATATTTCATAAGATGCTATATAGGTAAGTGAAAGTAAAAAAAAAAAAAAATGAAAATGAATTGATAAAAATTTACTTACTCATCAAACAATCCAAATTCATCAACTGTCGCTTCTCTTGCGACTTTATGGGGTATCACGTTTGCCACCTTTGTTAAGAATTCACGAGCATATCTGCAAAAATGTATAATAATTAGCAACCAGTTGTGCAGTCAGCATACAACATGATAATTAGAATGAATCTTTGATGACTAATTTTATTTTGTTTTCTGCTATAATTTAAAGATTTATTTTGAAGGTATGACATTTAATAAGTCCGTTTTCTAAGGAGAACTTTATTTCAGGATACCACTTGATAATTATTGAGGATAACTATCCAAAAATATTAAGATTTTTTTTTAATTTTATTTATGATATTTACAACTGTATTACAAATAAAAATATATCCAGTAAATGTGACAACAAGAATATGTGTAACCACTTGTTGAGAAACTACTCATTGGTAGCAATCTAAAAAATGTTTACATATAAGATCTCGAGGCCATCTACTTTTCAGACGGCTCGAAGAGTTATCCGGGATCGAAGAGGAAGCAAGATTAAAAACGAGAGGGTTTGGATGGTTCTGAAGTTTGATATGGAAGGATAGGTAACTGGATTGGCCAGGTCTGAAACATACGGAACATTAAGATCGTTTTGGAGATTTTATTTGTGACAAAGTAAGGAGCATAGAGAATTTTAAGGAGGATTTTGGATTGTAAGGATTGGATACGAGTAGTGTTGCCCAAAATCGGTCTTGATCTTGCATTTTGCAAGACCAAGACCACGGCCGCCAGGACTATTAAAAAAAATCGATTTTAAAATAAAAATTATGACAAAATAGTTACTAATACTTGACAATCTTAGTTACTATATATTAATAATTGGTATAACCAATATACTTTTGCGTTTAACACCTCCAATTATTCATTCGTGCCTACTTAGGTTTCTCCTATCTAAACAATTACAATTATATCTCTATAGTAATAAGCTAATATGTAACTGCAAGACTGTTGCGAGAGTCTTGCGCAAGACCAAGACCACGACCAAGACTGATTTTGCAAGACCAAGACTCGCCTCGGTCTCGCATTTGGGCAACACTAGATACGAGAGGAACTCGATGGCTTAGTGGAGCTCCGAAGCTCAACTCCGTAAGGCTTGTTTCATACCTACGCGGCAGTCGGATAAACGACATCGATCCGGCTGTCGGATAAACGACATTTAGACGGCATTGACACATGTTAAATATTCTTATTCTCACTTTAATTAAATAATATTCTTATTTAAATAGTTAACCATAAAATTAAATTTTTAAATTGATTAAATAAACATTTTGGAAGACTAGAAAAAATAAATAAATACAAAAAAATAAAATAAATTTCTAAGAAATATCATAGTGAAAAATGAATAAAATATATTTTTCCTAGTGGACATTTTCACAGCGGTGTTACTGCACTTTTTCTGAAGAAATTTTTCATTTTGTACTATATGAGTGGCTTCATATCAAAAAATGACTTTTGACATTTTTAAAAAGTTGAGAAATTTTCTGTAGCTTTCATTTAAACCAATGCTAATGATTTTTTTTTCATTATTCAACTTGAACATTCTTAGATAAAATTATTAAAAACAGTTTGAGTTGAACCAATAAAATTAAAATTAATTTTGTCTCTACCTTCAGAAAATGACATATGCCTGTATCTATTAAGAAGCCTCTCATGTACTAAAAAAACTTATTTTTCAACTTTAATAAGTAATATATGTTAAACGATTATTTTAAAAAAAAACTAATTATGAAATATCCGAATCGACGTTCGACGTAGAATTTTAGTCACCATTCACGCAACATATAGCTTTTCCGAATCTAATTTAGAATTTTCTAGCCTAATTGAGATTTTTAAAATAAAATAGAGCTTTTCAAACCAAATTGGGATTTTTCAAATCAAATTTAGAATTTTCCATTTAAAATTAAGATTTTTCCAAATCGATTTAAGAATTTTTAAAACATCAAATGGATTAGGTATTATAGTTTTCTTATTAAATTCCTTATACGTAGTACCTATTATGAATAACCAGGTTTGGCATTATTGCATTTTAAGACCAATCTTAGAAATTTTCAAATTGACGTTAACATTTTCTACAAGTTAAAATCAAAATAGGTTTTAGACAATATCTTTACAATTATTTCTTCTCTTCATTGTTCCTAGAATTGGTGTCTTGAGATTTTATTTATTATATAAATTAGGCCATTATTCACCAAAATTTTATTTTTTAGCTATTTTATTACGACAACGTTTCCACCATCACTATTGCGATTTTCAAGTCTTATTTAGTCCTCTATTAAATATCCATTATTAAGTGTCGTATTAGAGAAAATTAAGTTGTCCAGGGATTTAAGAGTTGCCCCTAAGTCATTTCAGTCCCTCCAGAAATGACGTAGGGGAAACTTAATAAAAATACCCTATTTTTGTTTTGCTCGTTGGGGATTCTCTTATCTGTTGGTATACATAAAAAGTAAATTACAAGTATTTTTTATTTTTAATAAAGTATTAACTAAATGATAGTTAGCATGAAGAATACTCTTTTTGTAAACCAACCGTTGTTTTCAACTTTTCTCAATTTTAGTGTAGCAATATTCTGTTTAATCTAGGAAAGACATCATATTGAACTATAACTTCACAATATTATAGTCAGATGGAGCGGTCAAAGGCACAGGTGGTGAATACCATCTATGCAGTTGGGGTCTCCCAATTGTAGTTTTCCGAGCTTTAACCAGATTCAGAAAAACTCGCAGTAATAATTTATGAGATCTGTTAATGGATCTCAGTACATTTGGCACCAAGGGATGTCAGAAATATTGGTATTACTGCAAGAAGCATCTCTTTTCGTAGTCCTCTAAAGAGCCTAAATTAAGTATTAAATGTTTTTTTTTGTTTTTTTTATATATATTACAACATGTCAAACAGATAAGTTACAAGTTTAAGGTTGTAGTAACCTTACACTTGACATAACAGTGGTTTGAATACTGCTTAGAAAATTGAAATTAAATTTTTACAGTAGGAAAAATCTCATAAAAACCTACATAAGATATAACTGAAAAAAATTATGTTACAATCATTAAAAGTGCAAGAAACACACACACACATACACATACTTACTCACACAACACACACACACACACATATACAAACAGATATATACACATATACACACACACATACTCGCATATATACATACACACACATCATATAAATACAATTTGTTGATTGGGGTGAATTATTAAATGTTCTGCCTAAGCCCATACCAATACAAACGGTTCTCAATTTTTTGTGGGAAGTTTATCTAACATCTTATGCCCCTTTCAAACGACCTGCAGCAACAGTCACTAGCGGATCCAGGATTTAATTTTTGGAGGGGCTTCAGCCCGAAAGATTTTTTTTTCATAAAAATAACGATAATTACTTTGGAAAAACAGAAAGAAACTAACAACCTATATGAAATGGTGTTAAATTTGTTTTCCATAAAACAAGGTTATATTTTACCGTTTTTGGGGGGCCTCCCCAAAAGCCCCTCCCCCCATCCGCCCGTGGCAACAGTGCATCGCCGGCAACTCTGCTGATTATGGTGCAGCATGTGCTTAGATGACGATACAAATTGGAATGCTGAAATGTTCACAAACAAGTCGCGTTTCTTCATTTTTATCTTAGGTACTCTAGGTTCTTCTGAGAACATGGGTAGACTGGCACAGTTTGTGCTTCCTTGAAAGCAATCAAGAGGTGCAATCTACTCAGGAGAACAGACTCAACTCCATATAGTGAAAGGTAATCTCATTGCAGTTTGTTCTGTTCAAGAAACTATAGAGGAGTATATTCTTCAAACCAGGGCCTTAATTGACACAGATTTCTTGTTTCTTGGTGATAATAGACGAACTCAAAGGGAAAGAGTTGTTCATCAACGAAAATGTGAACATTTCACTCCTATCCCTTTCCATATTATCTCCACATCTCAATCCCATTAAGCACATATAGAATGCACTGCAGTGAAGACCTTTCGACCACCGTTTGCAGGTTCTTGACTTTCAGCAACTGAAAGCAGTATTGTTATGTATGGGATGAAATCCCCAGTGTAATCAGTAACAATATTATAAACAGTATACTCAATAGGTGCAGGAAGATAGCGCGCAACAGAGGATATTATTACACCTATTATTAAATTTTACAAAATTTTTACAATTCGATATCATAAAACAAAGATCACACAAATCTTTCATTTTATTATTATTCAAAATCATGTTTAATAAAATTTTCGAAGGTCAAATACAATATTATTTATATTAATTTTCAATATAATTTATGAAAAAATAAATTAAACATTCTAGGGAAAATAAATCATACATAACGAACAATATCCATATTCGTTTTATCGCAGTGTATAAGCAGACCCTACACGGTAATTCATGAATGAACGTCACAAGAAGTTCCAAGATTGCCCGCTATCGCTTTGATCATGAAGACCCTTACACGTTCAATCATTACTCGAATTTATTGCCTACTTGACTATTTAAAGAAAAAATAGTTGAAAATGGTTAATAATAATATAGACTAGGGATATAAACAACTATTTACTTTTATGAAATTATTTACTTAATAACGAGACCTAGGTAAACTAACCTATCTAGTAGTAAGGTTAGTCTCATAGATCGTTTTGACAAAAGTTAGTAAAATATAAGTCTACTACTTACAAAAATTAAGGAAAGGTATTGCGAAAATAATAAATTTGTTGAGGAAAATGGGAAAAGAACTGATAAATATACACAACGTTAAAGTTTTTTTTTTCTAAAGTAAATTGTGAAGTTTCCTCATTTTTTTTTTTAATTTGTTGCCCACTTGACTATTTAAAAGAAATAGTTGAAGATGGTTTAAAATTATAAACAAGGGATATGAAAAATTATTTAACTATTTACATATAATGAAAATCAGAAATTTATAATGGTTGTGAGGCCTAGGTAACCTAACCTATCCAGCAGTATGGTTAGTCTCCGCACTACTTTTACCTCAGTCCCCCCTCCACTTCTCGTGAATGAACCTTTGATTTCCGGATGTTCGGAAATCCGCAGCGCACCTCCATCAGTACTTCATTCACTACCTTACACGACAATTCGGAACGTCATTAGTGCAATTCCGATTGACCGTGTAGGGTCCCATATATAGATTAGATTTGTACTGCACTGATAAGAGCAGCGAAAATCTAACCTATGACCTATGAAAATCTAACCTCTTATCAGTGCAGTACAAATCTAACCTATGAACTGCACGACACCCACAGTCATCCAAACATTGCCGACTACGCAGAACAATAGGACGACTGTCGTCTTGCCGTTTATCCGCCAATGGAGATTGTCATTTCTCATTAGGACGACAATTATCGGACTAGTGTGCTAGATTTCTATTACTCTCTGTCCCGAATGAAGTGTTCAAGGCGTCGTTTACCCGGCTGCCAGGTAGGTGTGAAATAAGCCTAATTCCAAATAGGTATTATTGTAGTCATGTATATGAGCCTTTTGTAATTAACTGGAAGCTTACAGCGTTTGTATAGTAATGGCTGGAGTAGTCGGGAACGTCGAGCGGTCTCTTGTCGTTTCAGTCTGGTATGAGGATTCCAAGTTAGACGTTCGTCCATCTTATCGGATTTGTTCAACAGGAATAAGTGGGCTATTATTAAAGGATGCTGTAGGACAGGATGTCATAGGTTTACGACGAAGTATAAAGGTGATTTGATGAGATTTATTTTAATTCTCCAGGTTTGATACCATTCTTCATGGTTTGTGATGTGTGGTTAAAGCGTTTGGGATACGATTCCTGGGTCATTATTAACTGATAGGGCGCATGTATCATCGGTATACGTGGTAAGGACAGTGTTAGGATGGGTTGGAATATCAACAGTTTGTATATTGTGGAAAGTATAGGAACTAGGTTACTACTTTGAGAAACAACAGCGAACTGAGTAAAAGGGATGAATAAGCATTATTGTGATTTTTTTTAAGGATCTATCAGTTAGATAGAAACGGATAATGAGGAAGTATGTAGGATGTAAGAATTTACGGAGTTTGTAAAGCAGTCCCGGGTGCCAGACTCGATCAAAAGCCTGTTCTACGTCGAGAAAAACTCTCATGAAGTACATTCCGTGCTCCAATGCAGAGAAGACAACATCCACCATAAGGTGGCATAGCTGGATAGTGAAATGGGATCTGCGGAATCCAAATAGATGATTTGGAATAATGTTATTGGAATCTAAGATGGGGTACAGACGTTTTAGAATGAGCTTTTTCAGGATTTTGCTGAGGAGGGGCAAAAGGAGGATAGGACGATAGGAAGATTTGGTGGTTTTTCGGGTTTATGTATCATTTCGATAATAGATAATTTACAAGGGTCAGGAAAATATGTGGGTCACAGTACAGCATTATATATATAATCAAGGATTAGAATGGTTTTTCGAGAAAGCAGCACTGTAGAGAAACGAAATTCTATTAAAGTAGACTGCCCTGCAAGAAACCTTAACCCTTGCAAGAAAAATGCCTTTGCCAAGCCTCTCGTAGACCCAAAATATATTCTAATTCCACCACTGCATATCAAGGTGGGTTTGATGAAAAATCTTGTCAAAGATATGAACTAAGAAGGGCGGAGCTTTAAATGCATAAGAGAGAAATATCCGAAATAGTGTGATGCAAAAATTGAGGAAGACATTTTTGTCGGGCCACAAATTCGAGAACTTGTGAAGGATCCTACATTCGACTATGTCTTGGAAAGGAAGAAAAAGGAAGTTTGGGAAGCCTTCTAAGGAGTTGTTCTTAGATTTTTAAGCAAAGAAAGAATAGATGACACCCACACGCATCTGGTGACAGTGTTCCTGGAAAAGGACCATAGCCTTGGATGCAACATGACCCTTAAAATCCATATTCTCCACTCCCACCTAGATTTTTCTCTCCTCGTTGTGGAGCTATCAGTGATGAACATGGAGAAAGATTCCATCAGGACATTTATGTTATGAAAAAAATATATTAGGGACATTAGAATGAAGCAATGCTTGCGGATTACTGTTGGTCTTTGTGTAGGGATGCTCCGGAACTTCCTTACAAGAGACAAGCTAAAATACTGCGATCTCATGGAGCCACCACATAATTTCTCCAAACACGACCATCTGCGAGGTATTTTTTCAGCAATTTATAACTCTTAGAATGAAAATTTCATTGTCATATTCGATTTTCTCAACTCAAAATTAGTAAGAATTGGCTCATAAAAAATTTGTTGTTTTTTTTGTTGCCCAGTGTTATTGTATACTTTTACATTCATCATTTTGCTGATTTAATTCTTTAATCTTATTACTATTATCTAACACACTTCTTCTTATTACTGTTATTCTTCACGCTTATTACCCTTATACTTTTATATACTGATGATATTTTATATTTTGTAATTTTGAGCCCTAATGATGACCCAAATATTTGGGTCGAAACGTCGGCTAACCCAATAAAATAAAAAAATTGGAACTGGAAATCCTGAAAATTTTGTTTAATCCTTAAATTTAGTTGTACATATTTCTCAGTTGTTAATGAAATGTCATTAAGATCCAGTTAATGAAACTGAGCTAAATGTTGTGGTAAGAAACTACATAATTTTAAAAATCTTTTGAATTGTTATCATTGGACTGGTACTTGGATTATCATGAAAATGAAATCATCTAATGACTTATTGTCCTAAATAATTGAAAATAATATCAAATTTTATATAGCATACTCCTGTTGTGTGGGTAAAATCAACTTTTCTTCTGAAGTCTGAGCAACCATTACACATTTTGCTAAGTTGCTGAGATCTCCTTGTTTTTCAGCTGGTATTGGCCTGTAGAAAAAATAACATCTTCAGAAAATTCTGTATTTTTTTATATAGCCTTTCTTTAAGAATTTAAAAACTTTTGTTCTTACGGATTTAGTTGGAACCTGTCGCTCTTCGGGTAACTATATATCCGTTTGTGACATGGTAGATATTTTAATGGCAATCTGTCCCATAGACGATCCTCGAATCCTTTCATGCAATCATCGCAATCCGGTTGCGGTTCAGTAGTACTTTCCAATTGCTGAAAATTAATTAGTTTATTCAATAATATGAGAATTTAATGAATAAAATAAACAATTGCAAACATACATTCATATATGTAATTTTATGTTTCATAAATCGCATATATGCACAATTTATCAGTTTAATATATTTCAATCGGTTTCATAAGGGATTTATTCTATTGGAAAGATGATTTAAAAGGCTAGATACTACAGAAAGTGATCTAAGAAGACAGTCCAGTCATTTTGTAGTTTCAACAGGAAAAAATTTCACAACAAAATTTTTTTTTTCGACACCTATATGCACTAGCGGATCCAGGATTTAATTTTGAGGGGTTTCAGCCCGAAAGCTTTTTTTTTCACAAAAATAACGATAATTACTTTGGAAAAAAAGAAAGAAACTAACTACCTATATGAAATGGTGTTTAAGTGATTCCTAAAGCCCTTTTAATATTAATCACACGAACAATTATACTTTAAGAGATACGATAAAACATGGTTATATTTTACCATTTTGGAGGGGGGTGCTTCAGCCCGAAAGTCCCCCCGTAGATCCGCCCGTGCCTATATGTTTTGTTGGGTGTTGAATCTGAAAATCCAGTTATCGACTAGATTCGGATATGGCTTCACCTTAAAAATGGCAAAATGACATAACATTTTGGAATGTGTTTCAGTTTTTAGCTTATGAAGCTGATAAAATTTCCTGAGAAATAAAACTAGAACCAGCTTGTTACGTTTTTTAGTTGGCCGCATCAAAGAATGATGACGTCAAAATCATCAAATTAGTCCAGTCGAATGGTAGTTGGATGAGGGGAGAATTCAAAAAGTCGGTTTCTCTTATGTTTTTTTGTACGTTGAATGTGAATTTGATGTTACCGAAGAAAATTTTACATTATGTTTCGAGATATATATGCAAAAAACAGCGAAATTCCTGAACTGTTTTTAGTATTTTGGACATGGCTCTGAAACTATAAATTTTATCGCAATTTTTATTAAGTAAAAAGTTAAAGAAGATAAAATTTACTATCAATTTTATTCATAGCTTTTTTATTTAAACCAGCGGTTGAGGAGTTAGAGCATGGCCGTTTGCTAATTTCACAAGAAACATCTGTTTTCGTCAGTTTTTTCGCCAAAACTCATAATCTATGGATCTCTCGAAGTAATTCATTATATTAAATTTGCAAGAGCATTAAATTTCCTATGTACCTTGTGTTGACAGGTTAGTAAAAGCGGCTGTTAAAGCGAACGGAATCGAAGGAGTATTTCACTCGTAGTTTCTGCCGCACTCAACTTAAGCGCTTCTCATCGTTTCAATACTTTTGATTCGGCTAACTTAATTATGAACATGATGACTGTGAACACTATTATAAATGTCCTTGAGACAGATTGTAATATTTTTCAATAAATAAGCAAACAAAAAAAAAAATTATGTTTATAACGGAAGTAGACAAATCGCATGTATAATGTATAAACAAATTGCATGGCTTTTATATGTTCTGTTGGCATTTGGGACATCAACATCCATTAAAATAATAAAGAAATTAAGGACCTATATGCGCGAAGACTATATGAGTCCTAACGGTAAAACGACAGTTCACCTACTCTTGACGTAAGTTTATTTCAATTTAAAGTGCATCAAAATTCTTATCGAACTCGGTATAATCGTTAATGTACGGAAAAGTTGAGAAGCCATTAAAGCGTTCGAACTTTGGAACATGAATGTTGATGTATCTGATACTAACAGAACATATAAAAGCAATGTAATTTGTTTATACATTGTAGTTCTGATGTATGCATAATTAAATTAGCCGAATTAACATCATTGAAAAGATAACAAGCGTTCAAGCTGGATGTGATAGATGCTGCGAGAGACACGCCTTTGATTCTGTTGGCTTTAACACTCTCGCATATTAACGTGTCTACATGTAGTAAGTAGGAAATTTAATGCTCTCTCAAAATGAATATAATCGATTTCTTCGAAAAATCCGTAGATTATCAGTTTTTTAGCGAAAACTGACGAAAACAGATATTTCTTGTAAGATAAGCAAACTGTCAATATGCCTTAACTCCTCAACCGTTGATCCTACATTGCAAAAACTGTGTATGAAACTGATAGTATTTTTTTTTTTTAATTTTTGCAATAAATTGTAGTAATAATTTTCCGGAATTTTGCTGTTTTTTTTTTTTGTTTTTTTTTTTGTTTATATCTCGGAAATTAATTTAAAATTTCTTTCTGGAGCATCAAATTCACATTCAGCGTTCCAAAAAACGTAAGAGAAACCGACTATTTAAATTTTTTTCTGCATCCAACTACCATTTCATTGGACTAATTTGATGATTTTGACGTCGTCAATCCATAGTGCGCTCTAGCGGCCAAATGAGTGAACTAATTCTAGTTTTATTTTTCAAGAACTTTTATCAGCTTCATACGCGAAAAACTTAAGAAATATTTTTTTGTCATTTTAAGGTAAATAACTTTATTTTTAAATTCAGCACCCAAAAAAACATTTAGAGCCGTCGAGAATTATTCTTCAATAATTTTTTCCTGAATCGATCACTTTCCATCACCAAATGACTGGATAGAGGGTGCTATGGTTTACTTGATTGAAATAGGACATTTAGTAAAAATCAACAATGGCTATCTGTTCCGAAGGTATCATGTTTCTATTGCTTATCGATTGCATACAGTTTTTTTTTTTTTCAGTTTCAGGGACTAAAGAAATACAACATTGGTCATTCTTATATCATTTGACCATTAGATGTCAAATTAGATTTTACATGTTTTTTTTTTTCAGGTTGACAATGGTATTACTTATTTGTATTATTTCTAAGGAATGAAATGGTGATATTGAAATAAATTTAGGTTAACCATAATAAGAAATATCTTAATCTTAATATTAAAACGTAAAGAATGTTACTTTACCCTTGGTGAGGATGGATAGTTCTTCGTGCTTTGATGTGAATCGTTCTGTATTAATTACTTTTTTTTCCACATTACAGTAACCCTGTAATGGGTGCATATATTTCTACGCGTACCATCTTGCGACATAACGCGTATTGAGGCACATAGATAGTTGAAGTAACATAGCATTGATATATTACAATTCTTTGAATAATTATAAAATAATGTCACTATTATTCATTTAAATTTGATATCAATTATTTTAATTGTTCCTACTACCAATTTATCATATCAGTTTCTATATTATAAGAATTTAGAGAACAAGAGGAGGATTTGAGTTATTTTTCTTATAGGTATTGATGTAATAAACGAAAACCGTCGTGTTCACATTTTTTTTTTCCAACTGGCTTGAAATATTTCATAAATATTTATTCTACTCATAGCTATTTTTCCTAATATGCTAAAAAAGTTTTTTATTTAAACTGAATAAATTATTTGTTACTTTATTATATGGAACTAAATTTTGTTATTTGAGGCTATTTTTTTTCTTTTGAAATATGAATGAAGTAACTATTTGTTCGATAATTTTTCAAGTAAACATTTTGCTTTTAATCAAAAACTTGCTTAGTCTAGGTTTATTTTCTATAAATCTATTTTACATTATACGAATGTTACGGTGAAAAGTTCCTAAAAGAATATAAACCATAAAAATATTGAAATCAATTAACGTAACAAGCAGTAAGTCGTATTATTCTAGATTTTATACATCTATTTTTAGAAATTTATAACAATATAATTGTGATTTTCTGAGATGAGTACTACGAATCATTTTACTCCTTACAGCCTTTTCTTAGCGCGGTAACACTCTGAGCAAAATCCTATTTTCCAAATTAAAAAAAGAAAACTAATGTTAAGAAAACTGACTATCGAAGCTTAAGTTTTTAATCCAGGACATCTTTACTAATATTCGAGTTAATTTTTTCCTAAGAACTATCCACATGGCATACATGTTATTCTGTTTCGGACTTGTAAAACCAACTGTGTTTTTATTTAGATATTCTTAAAATTTAGAAAAAACCTTTACCGCTACAACCCATGAAGGATCTTGGTTTTAGTACGTTCTTTGGAAGTACTGTTTCAAATCAAACGGTTGTCAAATCAACTCAGTCATCGAGTCGGGATCGCGCTCAACCGCTATGTTTTTCTTCTTAATTAATTCTTTTTTTAATTAAGACACCCAAGAATCGATCCACGGTTGATGAAACATAATAAATAATTACCTGCCATCCATCGAATTCTAGCCTAGGAACTTGAAATTTGGAAGTCAATGCCTTAATCATTGAGCTACCATACTTCTCTTTTTAGTTATATTTTATTAAAATATATTTTTAATGTAAGAAATATTATAAGTAAAATTCTTAAATATTAATTCACTGTTTTAATTAGTTGTCTACACATACATATATACATTAAAGGAACAATGCCTTTTTGAATATTATAACTGTTACTTAGCTGATCGGTGAGTGATAGACCCAAGTATGCTACTTCGGTTTCAGACAATGCATCTTCCTCAAGTAACTGCTGGCGTGCACTTCTCTACCCATCAGATGTCTGATCTGAGACATCTACTTCCTCCTCCTCTACTTGACCCATCTTTCTAATACCTTTCCATACCAATAATGCCTACTTCACACTCTCAGACAGACTTCATTCTACAACATCCCATGACTGACTGTTTCTCAGTTGAATCTCCTCTCTATGTTCACAAAACTCTTTTCTATACCCAGATTTTCTTATAGGCAGAAATATCTGTACTTTCCCTTATTACTTTTAGCTTTTTAATTATAATCTGCAGTTACCTTCAATATCCCATCCTTTGTATTGGTAACATTTATTTTTTACTGGAGTAATTCTATATGATTATTATATATAAAACATATTTCAATATCACCAATGTAAATGCATAACAATATATATCTGTAGCCCGGATGTAAAGAACGCCATGTCCATTTTTAAATTGGTTCAGGGCAGCCAATGTTTCATAACTTTGAGCTATTAAAATTAGTTTCTTAATTATTAAGTTATTTAATAAAAAGATGAACATGATGTATTTTACCCCTT